TTCAGCAGGTCCTTGTGTAGTTCTTCTGTATTACAGTTGTCTATACTCTCCTTCTCATGAAAACATGCTGCTTGCATACATTTCCAACTAATGTCAGCTTCTCATTTTTACTCTCAAATCTGTTTACAGCTGCTCAGGGAGGGGCAGAAATCGCACATAAACCCCCAATTTATATCAGCCTCTTTTCACATTGTTCGAGATATATCACATTCAAGGTTTCACGAAGCCTGAGTTGAACAAAGCGTAGACAGACCACAGAAGTGTCAGACAAGGGAGAGGCTGACCCAGAAATGCAGGGGTACTGGTTATCGAACACTCACAGCATTAAAGCAAGGGGGAAAAAAAAAAAGAAAAAGAAAAAAAACCACACACACACCACCACCCATCAGCAAGCCAGATTCTGATTGGAAAGGATTCAGAGGATTCAGCATGTTTCATTAACTATGTTATTTACCGACTACCCTGGCAAAGAACTCCATTTCTTTCAAAATATACAAAACACACAACCCACATCTTACCTTCCTCTTCATCATCCTCAGGAGGAGAAGGAATCATTGAGCCCTGTGACCCAGACTGAGGCAGACGAAGAGAGGGGCTTGCTGTAGTTTTTCTTCTCTCCCTTTCTGATTCACTTTCCAGACATACAACTTCATATAGCGTGTCTGAGTTATTCTTTCTGTCCTTCTGCTTTATCTGGGAAATATAAGAAGTTCCACTTTATTCAGAAAAGCTTTATGAGCATCCAGATTACTTCTCTTTTTGGAAGCAGGGAGCTGACAAAGAGACACAATTTTCATCACGTTCTACAATGAACAATGTTCAATTCACTCAAGGCATTGCTCAGGCCTGCAAGTGCTTCTGTGATTTAAAGTTTCTATTCCTACTGCCCTAAAAGAAACAGTAAGTATATTCTACCTAGAATGAATGGAATCGTTCAGGTCTGCCATACTTAGGCAAGCTTATCTTTTCCACCATACATGGACTGGAGACAGATGGGATAGATTTCAAAGCTGTGAATGCATCTAAAATTAAATCCGTTTTCTCTCTTGAACTTTCCAGGGATACTGGTGGGGGCAAAAGGAGAGTTCTTATAGAAATTGCTCATATTTACTTTCCCACTATGGTAATTGTCTTTAGTGATGCTTCCAAGTCATCTATTTGTGTGTACATTGCTGACATGAACACAGGCACACAAATTGTTGGGTCCCAAGGTCTACTACGTGGTCTTATTTCCTCCTTAATTTTCAATGGTATCAAACCATTGATTGCCACTGAAACCATTCCATCAAACCATTCCATTATTTCTTTTAAAAGGAAGCTTTTTCTTTGTGAAGTGGTTCCAAAATTTTAACACAGTTCAGAAAAACTGAACTTTTTTTCCCCCTCCACAAATTAAGAAAAATAGAGTAGAAAAGGAAAGGTGATGAAAAGAGGGAAATACAATTTATAATTATACTCTAAACTCGCTGTGCTCAATTTTATCCTTTGGGACATCTAATATTAAGAGGAACTAAAATAAAAAGACTAAATCACTAAATGTAATCTGAGAAAATAAAATCCTGCTGTTTCCATCATTTCCAAAAAAAGAAACATTGCCCAAGTAAGATAAGCCAATTCTACGCAGCTATGTTTTTAATAGCCTAACTATGCCTCTATAGAAACACGTTTCCCTTCCAGGCTTATCAGGCAGTACACTTCATTTGTTGCTTCCACTATGAATTTTGATAATCTTCCATTAGTAAACACTGGAAGCTGGATAACCTGACAGGGCCTATAGAAAAAAAAAATTAGCTAAGATAAGGCACAATGCATGTGAATTTAGTAAGACAAAAGATACAGAATTAGCTAAGCAAGATAAGCTTCCTTTAGACTACCAAGCAGAAAAGGCGCCTGTTGGAGGTAGCAAGATATTTATAGCTAAATAGCCTTAACTGTTCAACATCTCTATGCTCCACCTCAAAAATACTCTAAATAAAAAGACTGATCTCATCCATGAAGATTTTTTCCACCTTGTATTTTGAAGGAAAGTTTCCAAAATGTTTATTCATAACTGTGTCCAAAACAGTTATACAGCTATTTAGCAGATTTTAGAGTTTTACATAAAAAAAATAGGACATACGTAAAAAAGAATTCTCACTGAACTCCATCTTTGCTACCACTCAGAAATAGTGCCACTATTCGCTAGCACCTTAAGACAAGTGCAAAAACAACCCAGAGAAGCCTCCGATTTCATTCCAACTCTCTTTAAAAAGTAAGAAATATCAAGAAATCAGAAAGACTTTAATCTTGCTTTCTTGGGCTCCACCCAGAATTACTAAGCCTTGAGAAAGCACACATGCCCGCATTGCTGCGTGCTTTTGTATCTTTCCATTCCTTTGAACAGCACTTTCATTGCAGAACAATAATTTCTAAGACAGGAGAACAGCAGCTGCTTCAAATGCATTACCTCCTTAGTAATTTGTACCTTCAACTTTCTAGGCTTATTCTGAGAATAGGTTATTGCCTTGCATTGTTATTATGAATATCCTAGATGGAAATATCTCTTTCCTTTTTAACAGCTAGGGTAAAAAGGAAGTTGGAAAAACAGAATAATTTTTAACAAATTCTAGGGATTTTGTGGTTGGTTGGATTTTTCCCCCAAGGGAAAACCAACCCTTGGCATAGCCCTAGATTGCAGATGAATCCTTGGTTCTATTTATTTCAAGGTTCGTCTGAAAAATCCTTAAGCCTCCGTATAACTTTGCAGCCTCATCAGAACTGTCAAAATTTGTTTTGAAATGAGGACAGCCAGTTCTTTATGGGAAGTTTAGACAATCAGCAACAATTACCATAATGAAAGATTTTTTTTTTTCCCTAGAATAGAACAGTATTTATCATACCTCTTTGATTCAGGAGCAAAACACTGAAATCCAAAAATCACATTAGTAAAGGCTTTACCAGTCACAGAGAGAAACAACTACACTGAAGTTCTGACCTTCTCCCAGTCAGTCAACTCCAGGGTAAAGGAATAGGTGCAAATACTCCCCTGGAGTTCCCACACCTCTGTTCAAAACAAGACTTTAACCTGCTTCTCCACCTAAAACATCATAATGAAAGATGAGGAAAATAAACACGCATGATGCATATACAGCAAACAGCCTCACGTTAGAGGAAGTCAGACACCCGCCTGCAGTACAATAAAAGGGCACAATTCATTCCACTGGTCTCAGTAGGACCAGAGAAGTTTCAGGACAGGCCCTGGTAACTAAAATTCATCTTCAACACGTGTATTTATTCAACATTATACCATAAGCCTACCCCTCCAGTCTCCAAACAGCATAATCAACCATACCACTGTTATACCTGAAAACCAACCTCGACAAATACCAAATCAACTGTAGATTAAAAAAAACAAACAGAAGTGTTACCTGCTTCAGTTTTAGGAAAAAGTTTTCCGTAGAGCTACGTTTGCTGAAGGGCCAGAATAATCTCTCATTAGGTGAGCAAACTCTGACTTTAGTCTCCAGAATGAATCTAACAGGTTCCTGAACCTCAGTTATCACCAAATCCACAGCAGTAGTCATGAACAGTACTTTATCTAGAGAGAAAAAATAAGGCAATATTATTAGCATTAAAAGAAAGATCCAAACAAAATACTCTAATCTCTTTCCTAGAAACATTAAAAATAAAGTTTTCCATAGAATTCCTTTTTTGCCTAACAACACCTCAAAGCCCAGCAGTTTCCAAGCACATGGAACCAGAAAATAAGATCACTACGCACTACATAGTAGAGAGCGCTCTTTCAAATTCACACTGAAACGTATCAAAATAAGTCTTTCATTAAACACTGATCAATGATTTGATTTGTACACTTAACTCCACAGTGCAGATCTCTTGCCATCTGGCCTAATTACATTTTACTTTTTCTTAATTATATTTAAGTTATTAAGATGACATTTAATTTCCACCACATTAAACACACTGAGATAATCATCTCAGTTATAAGATTTAGAAAATGGATTATACACTATGCGTCCCCAAAAGGAGGCAACTGGACTCAGTGACCTATGAGATCCCTTCCAGTACTAAATGAGAAATTGTGTCCTTTAGGTAGGATAGCATTCCACCTAGCAGCAGATTGTACCCGGAGAAGTCATCCGCCCTAGAAGTGATGTCTTATGTCCTGTCAATTCCCATGAATTTCCTCAACCTTTGGTACATAAGTGCAGTAACAGATTGAGATGATGATCATTCAGCTGCAGTAATTACAGCTCTGTTTCAGGACTCTAGAGAGCAATGCAGCATCAGTTATTTTCAGATTACATTTGGAATATTTTACTTTCATTCTCATAGGTACAAGAATGCCTTTTTTTTTTTTTTTTAAATCTGAATTGGCCACACAAACTAAGCAAAGAGGAAAGCTGCAGTAGTCATTTAGTGCAATTCTCAATGGCATTCTGAAGAAGTATAATGAAAGACAAGGCCTCTGCAACCTGTCTCCGTGCTCAGTCTATATAACCTGCTGGGACATACAGTTATTCTTACAAGGAGTTACTACTAAATGCAGGATCTCTTTTCTAGCCTTCTGTTGGATTGACTTTTACATTACATCTGGTGCCCTAGTTTCTGAGAGCATATGCCAAACCAATTGAATTCAGAGGCCCACAATATAAATTTTATTACGTTCATGCTACTAAAAGAAAAGTGAAAAAACGTCTTTTTGCAGGATTCATCCTAAAAAGCAAGAATTGACACAATGTCTACTAGGCGAGTTACTTGCCCTGCCTAGGAACAAAATCTGGCAAAGTTCATACCTTTCGGTGTTTCTTCATTTACAAATTGGAAGTGTGGAGATTTTTGATTCCAGCTCCCAGTGATCACATATGATTTCCCATCAGAACTTTTACCCATGGACTCCTGTGAACAGGGTAATAATATATATGCTATAAACTATATAAATAAATATAATCTGTATATTATGAAGTCTCAGCCCCATAAAACAGCTGCTGCACTAGCAAGAGAAGGGCAAACATCTGAAGTCTACGTTATATTGTCCTATAACAGAGATGACTCTGAGAATAAGAGTTCCCACGCAATTTTTGATCTCCTGGCTGATAATATAAAAAAGCCAATTAACATAAATTGTTATACGTGTATGTACATGTAACAAGCAAGACCTGAAGAAAGATCAATAGCTCATTTTGGAGATGGCTATCCGACAGCAACTTTTAGATCACAAAGGCCTAAGTGAGATCACAGTCAAGTACCTAGAAGGACAGGACTCCAAGTTGCAAATGTTTGGGAGTTTTGTTGTTGTTAAAGAACAAAAACAAAACAAAACTTTAACTTTTTAAGAATTGTCCTGTAAAATTCAAGGCAATCCAGTCATTCTGGCCTCCTTTTGTACCATGCAGTCACTGAACAACAGTAACCTGAACGGTAAAGCATTTGAACAGACAAGGCTTTGATCATGCACTTAAGGGATGTAGTTCATTGCCTCTAATACATGAAAATAAATTACATCAGAACACTGCCTTACAAGCTGCTGAACTTGTGAACTTGGCAAATGTTTTACATTAACATACCTTCTACTTCACTGTGATGTTTTAATAAACCAGTTGTGTGCTATTTAATCCTAAGTAGCTATTTTATGAAGTATGTTGTAAAAACAAGGATAAAAAAATAAAAATAGAGTTGTGCAAGAAAGCACAGTTCTTACAACTTAGTTCTTTTCTGCAGACCCACTATGACATATTTTTTATATGGTCTCAGACTTTTGTTGAGATCCAGCTTCATGCAGCATACAAAATACATGTTATTCAGCTACCGAGAAACAAGTCAAAGTTTTGTTTTATCCTCAGTATTCAGTGTATCTATTACCCAACCCACTTTATTTTTTAGCAGGCTTTTTATTGTCCAGCAAGTAAAATCATTCATGTACTCACTACTGCTCTATTGGACCACTGGACCGTTTCATGTACTCGCTACTGCAACAAGTATGTTTTCATTAACATGAACAAGTTTATTTTCACAATACACCAGTGAAGTCAGACGATTTCACAGATGGAAAACTGAATCACAAAAATAAAGTGCCCAGCAATTCTCAGTGATATCTCTAAAGCAGTCTAGGCCTCATTTTACACAGTGATAAGTATGCTGCAACACGTTATACGCTCAAGGTACAGCACTTCTGAAAATAAGGCTCCATATGTCTTATTCCAGTCCCCTAAATGAGAGCAGTCATGCCTGGCTGTGCAAAATTGGGCCAATCCCTTGCCCAAGCATCATGTCACATCATAACTCTCGTAGCAGAGGCAAGGATTCAACCCAGTTCCCCAGGGCACCACTCAAGAGCATAAGCTACAGCATCAACCCACATTAACAAGTATGCACAAGCATCTAAACCTTCTCTATCTGTTCTGAGATCACACACAATCGTAATTACTGAATTTTGCTAATAAAAAAAAACCACCTTACCAAATCTAAAAGGTGCATGTCACCACTCCGAACATCTTTCCCACGGCTAAGGAGGAGGCCAAAACATCTGCAAAAGGAGGCAACAAATTAACCTGCAAAACTTAGACTTACTACTCATAAACAAACTATCAGCATTCTCTGTTCAAATACTCCTTGACATACATCACAAGCAGCCCACGAATACTAGAACAAATCAACAAATTCTGATATCTGAAATCGCATGAAGCACATCAGGCAAAACGACGTCAAGCCAATACTAACAATGTCAAGCAAGATTTCATCAGCATGCTTACAGTATGATTTTACCCTGCCTACAGTAGTCAGAAAGTTGTTTAGTTATCTTCATTTGCCAGAACAGTATAAAACATACACAACTAACATGCGTTCCATATTCTGCAGGTAGGATGAAGTTTCCTGTATTCTTCTCCCTCTCCCACCCCTGCCTTTTTTGGGAGACAGATTTGCATATTATTTACCCTCTCATACAGATGAGAACCAAGAAATTCCAAATGAAGCACAGGGACCTGTCTTTATGATTTTATTTCTCAGAGACTTTTGGCCCACAGAGGTATATTCCACTCCATCCTCTGGTTTACCACACTGCCTCAAGTTCCTGTATTTCATTTCAGACTACAAAGGCTGGCGGAAGCTGTATCTGGTCTGTGTAGTATAAGCAGCACTGAACTCTATCAGTAGTCAAAAATTTTAAGTTTATTTCTAAGCAGTGAGATATTTGAAGTCTTAACTCTCCCCTTTCCTACACAGACATTTCATATTCTGGAATTCTATATCACAGCAGATTCAAGGCATACTCTCAGATGCAACAGAAATGAGAGGAAAGCAATATCCGAAATTAACTCCATCACTGATTATAGCCTTAGCATTTCAGACAAATTGACCATTTAAACTAAAAGCAGTAAGTTTTTATAAGAAGCTTCGGAAATAGACACTTACAGAAGACAAGCACTGATTCTACAGTCGGGTCCGTGCAAGAATTCACTGAGCCTGGATTGTCCCCTCCCCGCCACACACACATACCGAACGTCTCAATCAGATCTTTTGCGACATCCCACCCAACAGAGAGGTGTGGGGTTAAATTACATAAATGGAGTATTCATAGAACAATTACTAATCTGCTGCCTCAGAAGAAACAGCTCCATAAGTAAACATCAAACAGATAAAGAATTTTTTTTTAAATCTATTAAATTACCTCTCAATAGCAAGTTCTTTATTAGTGGTCTGTTGAACGTAAATCACTATCTTCTTATCAATCCCTTGGCGGAGTTTAAAGCATTGCCTGTCCTTGTCTTTGGGAACTGCACTGTTATTTACCAGGGAAGGAAAAAAAACTCAGAGCGTCATTTATCTGTATTCCTTGCATGTATCAAAAACAGCATCAGACATTCGGTGAAGTCAGCTTCTTATACAAAAGCACTCAAGACCTTTCTTCCTTGCACACTGCAATTAGTAACATGAAAGAAATGGCAACATAATTAGGTGATGGTATTTTATCACAATTAGGCGAAAACCAAGGACACTTAGTTTTCAAAATAAACACTACTGTATTTTCATACTCTGAGGCTTATTCTTGTGAGACTTCCAGCAGCAGTTGAAGAAAGTTTCTAAATACTGATTCCCTACATAACACGCAAATATTTTTTGAGCAATTACTCATCAGAAACTGTGCACCACTTTCTTTCACAAGGCAGGTGACCACTGGAGCACACGATAAGACAACAAGACAAAAGGATGCACCAATCTTTAGACTGAGGATTTTTTTTTCTTCCCTCTGGAGAGGGCATCTTCTCCTAAATGCTGCCCAAAGCTGAGAGAGCGTGCTTTGGTGGGAAAACCTAGAATCATACTTCAATGTCAATATAGATGCTGAAGTTTCAGCATCAATAGTCCCTTTTGAACAGTGCCAGAGCAGTAAATCCTGGACAAATCAGATTGCTAGATGATTTAAAAGAAAATCAGAATCCACTTGCTCACTTTTCCCTTGGATATAAAAATTATCTTTATTTTATTTCAGACCTTCTCAACCTCTGGGTTTGGCAAAACGGGCTGTGCAGTATAAACCACAGTTTAACACCTCCAACAAAATTTGGGTTTATTTCCTGACAGCAGTTGCTTACCCAGGCCACGGAACTGCAAACTACCTTTAACTGTCAGCAGCAGTTCCATGTGCTGCGGCAGGACAGCAGATTCACATCCTTGCAGCCAGTGCATGCAGTTAGATCTCGTGTTCTCAGTACGACAGAACTGCGTTACCAGTGACCCAGGGTGACAAATGGAGGTAGATGAGGTAAGACAAGGTCAGGTACGTTAAAGACTAAGATCAGAGACTGCGCATGCAAAAGTGTTCTCTTAACTTCTACGTCAGTAGGGGTCTGCACTTCAAGGGTTAAACACAGGTTAGTGTCAAACTGCTAAAGCTAGCTATTTGAACTGAAGCTTGATCTGTACAGTACGTACAGGTTAGCTAGGATTCTGCATAGTCCAAGACAAAACCTTCTTTTCTTCACTTTGTATAGAGTAGGTACATGGTTTTTAAACAATTGCGCTCTTCCACCCTAATGCAACCACATTTTTGTGGCCGAAAAGATCTTTAGGTACATGTCCATAGCAAAGGCTGAGGTTCAATGTGCAATCCACGTGCAAAGCTTTTAGCAAAAGCTAAAGACCGCCTTTTAGAAACCAAGGTTCTCCATTATTAGATATAACAGGAAAACAGCGCTACCTGACACAGTGTGAAAAGCTGCCCTAACACCCCCATGCACACCACTACCACCGCTTTCTAATAACGCTTGGCTCAGGAAAAAATGGGGAAAAGATTAACTGAATTTGGAGAACTGGGACAGAGAACACAAATGTTTTAGAGACGGGGCAAGCTCTGTTCATATAGCTTTTCTGATGCTGATAAGGTACAGATGAATAGCTTAGTATTTCAATGTAATAGATCACAGCACCAAGGATAATTAATATTGGTGACCTTTGATAACAGATTTGAATTCTGCCTTCTTTTCTGCTCTCAATAGAGCAGAGATCAACTCTAAGAAATCATGAGGAAATGGATAAGGATGAGAGATTAGGCATTCATATTTTTGGAATGCATAACGTAGCTAAAAGTTGCAAAGATGTGGCGGGAATAAGGAAAGCTGGGTTTCGCTAGGATGAGAGTGACTGCAGGTCTACATGGGCAATGTCATTCAAGACATTTAGTTTCCCTGGGCAGCACTGCAAGATTTCAGTTTGGACTATACAGCTCCAGTAACTCCAAAACATTATTATGTAAAGAGGAAAAAGCCCAGAGTGTATTATTTTTGCTATTTGATTCCGCTTTCAAACTTCCCAGAGAATTACTTCTGTCCAGCATATTTAATAGAGTTAACTGAATTTATCCCATTCACAGAGCAAAAGCAAACCTAAAGACCAAAGTTAAAACGCAAAGCAGTCTTCTATGATCCTGCTTCTGCCTCTAAACAAACCCCTTTCCTATGACCTTAAGTAATCAAATATTTTAAGAAACTGTTCTAAATAATATTTAACATTAAAATCTAAAGATTTGCTGATCAAAAATTCATTATTATGTTGTTGCTTTCTCGCATCAGGTTTTGTACAGAGACAGACCTCTGAATACAAAGAATACATTATGGACAACCACGTTTTTATACAGTTTCAGAATAACAATGTGGGAATAAGTCTGAGATCTTGATCATCAAGCTTTCGATTGACAAAGTGGTAATAGTCCTATACTACATCCTGAATAGTAAACGTGTCCTTTGACAAGCAGGATCTGCCTAATACTTCTCTGGAGAATAATCTGTCTTTAGGGATCAGCCAAATGATTTGGAAAATTCCATTTTTCACCGTTGCACGTTTTCCGTCTTCTCTTATGAGACTTTATTGAAAATATGCACCCTTGCGCCTCCTGTAGCATACACACGTCCACAGAACCTTTGGAATCCTGGCCATAAATGCTTTCCTACCAGGATTGTGCACAGAGTCACTATGTTGCATTTTCAGCTTCAATAGTGGTTCAGGTGAGCATGATTTAAGCTGCATTGCACAGAAAAGATTTTAAAGACAAAAGAGGAATAAAAAATAGAAAAAGCAATTGGCAGGCAGCATCAGATTCAATTCAGTGAACAAGACAGAAGAGTTCAGAGAGACATCACTCATGAGTGATTTGTTTAAACTAGAATAGGAAACTTTCGAAAGGGCAGTCTAGGAACATCTCAGACCCACACTCTCCATTCACTCACCTTCCAACAACAGAAACCGATGCTCTATACAGCAAATGAAGAATCTATACCTGAAATAACCTTTCCCGTCATCTTCTTTGATTTCCAGTGACACAGAGAAGGTGAAAATATCACTGTCTGGAGTCTGTGGGGTGGCAATGGCTGAGAGCGGAGTTTGTTTGGCAGAACGACGGAAGGCAGTGGCAAAGCTGTAGAGTATTCGGCTCACCTGCATTTACATGACACCAAAGAAAGATCAGAAAGGTATGGCTATAGAGGATGCAAGAGCTGAAAAGCTACCTGCATTTTCACTAAATAGAATGAGAAGTAACTGTAAAAATGACTGTGGTTCTAACATCTAATTAAGTATTCTTATATGCTTCTTTAAAGGATAAACTATTAAATCCGCATTATTTCACAGCAAGATTTCTATAATTTTCTTAACCTAGTGTAAAAAAAGCCAATAATGACAAAGCAGATTACTCCCAAAGTGCCTGAAATAACCACATCATTTTTAATCCAGAAGTAATCTCAGTTCTAGCTCAGTAATAACCCTTACATTTAAGATGTAGTTACCATTGGGGGGTGGGGGGGAGGAAAACAAACAAACAAACAAAAAAAATCAACTTACAGCCTCTTGGATTTCACATCGGAAGACGTGAATCCTGAAGAGTTCTGCATTGTAGTGGCTTTCAGTGAAAGCAAAGCAATCGCTTTCAGGGGTTCCATCATGCCCTCGTACACAGAAAAGGATTTTATAGATTGGATAATTTGCTATTTCTGTGTTTGTTTGAGGATCTAAGAGTCTGTTAAAAGAGAGAAAGAGAGAGAGGAAAAAAAAAAAAAAAGTTTGCAACTTTAGAAGAATTACTTCAGCTAGCTATTAACTTGCAAGCCTGAAAGACTTCATAGCTACTGGAGAGAGTACGCTACAAAGACACTAACCCCTGATTATCATTTACTACAAAGCTTGAACAGAATAATTATATTTACATTGAAGAATATAAAAACGTACAACGCAACACACTTTCACCAATGATTTCCTCACAGTTTTCAGGGCTTAACCTTCAAACTGCTACACTAACATACAGCAATGGAAGAATATTTAGGCTAGCAATTCTCAGACTCCCAGTAGCTGCACAACAGCCATTTTCCAGCCCTAAAAAACGAATACATTTCAGGCTGTTCCCACTATTGCATTTCGGGCACACAACATCATAACAATATTTGATACCGATCCTTGGGCATGAAATGCCTTTGGCAAACAAATTCAAATCATCACTTTTCTCAGACCTCCTTAGACTCATTTCTTCCACTAGAAGAAATCCCAAGTTGCTTATGTTCCGTCCCCCCCATCCCCTGCCTCCCAATAAACTGGGGGTTATCTCCTCCTTGACTAGGAGGAAATAAGATTAAATACACAAAGTCACAGGGCACAGCTGAAGGAGCTTCGTACCTCACTGTTCCTTCAGAGACATTAGGCACTGACAGAGTCACATCTAAAGAAATCTGGCACTGACTTCGTAAGATGGACATCATTCTGAGGGCTTCCACTTCACTCCGGGGAGCGTTCACTGAGGCACAGCCTAAGTAGGTGAGCTTGCTAAACACCACACTGTCCTCATCTGTCAGAGGTGTAAAAGGGCTCAAATCCTCACAGTCTAGGGTAAGACACAAAGTTACAACATAAGAAGCAAGACAAAGTATACATAAATAAATTATTATAGAATGCATTAGTCACTTTATCATACTGTTAGTGACTAAGAAATATGTTACAAAAACACAGATCAGGTCAAAATACTACAGAAAAACCCTACCTGAAAGTGAGTTCCTGACAGCAGAGAGCAACACAGCTATCCACACTCTACAGATTTATAAATGTCCCGTGGCATGAGCTAATTAAAAGCACACCAATTTTCACTACTGAAATAAGATGCACAGATAAGCTAAACAGACTAACATTTTATACAGCTAGGCAAGTAACCATTTATTTCTGCAGAATACACAGCTCAAGGCTAATAGCAAGTGTTTTCAGAAGAGAGGATAGCTCAGCATATGGTAACTCTCACATCACATAACCTGCAGTTTACTGTTCTAGGTGATGAGAGTAGGAAAAATGGGGAAAGGAAGGTAGACGCACCTGCACCTAAATTACTCTTCCTTTCCCCAGATAAAGCTAGCTTAGAAGATACCACCAGGTATTCCCCATTTTTTTCTAACCTCCCTGCGATGGTTTGACTGGCAAACTCATTTCTGGTTTCTGGAGTCCTGCCACCGACACTGGGTTAACGGTAGAGGATGCTGAAGCCTCAAGGACAACAGGTTCTTCCCCATCTCCATCAGTCCTAACTTCTTCTCCATGCTCCCGGTCACTTGATTGATCTTCTATGGGTGGATCCATCAGCACGTCCTCAAGTTCCTTCTGCAGCTCCTGTTCGCTTCCATTCCCCACAATCTAAGAGCCACAAACAAAGTTGGGACACAAAAGAGACTGTTCAAATGAAGACAAAACCCTCATGCATAGAGAAAGTCTGTCATAGGGCTTCTTCTGCCAATCAAAACAGTAGTTAACAAATTTAACCTAGTTACAACCGTAATCTTAACACAAACTGCAATGTGCAAATGCTCATCAGTTCAGATTATATCCCCTGTACTTTAACAAACCTAACAAAGGGTGCTCAAAGCAGGAATTCTCTAGTGCTGGGAAAAATTAAGAGATTACTTTAAAACTAGTCTATGATTACAGAATCCGTAAACTAGCTTATGACACAAGAAACTCAGAGGTCCACAGTACAGTGGTCTACAATTAATCTCAGAAGAGTATCAGGAAGTGCCAAATATAATGAAATATGCTACATGGCTCGTGGGCAAGATAGCAATATTTCATAGGAAAAGAAGAATATGGAACAGGATTATGCTATCATGCTGAGAAGAGGTACTGTTGTTTTATTTCTTAAACTCATCTACAGCCTGATTTTGCACGCGTGGAAGTCCACAAGAAAGCTCCCAGCAACGCAGTGGTGTAAAAATCAGGTCCTAGGCCAGAAAGAAGATGGAGATAACATTTATTGCTTTACAATTATCTAAAAAAAATTCTGAAAAGTTGTAGGCTATATGCAGGGATGAGTCAAGTGTACCTAACCTGGGGACAGAGAAACTAGAATTCTCCTTCTGACTCCCAAACACAAAGACAACCTGGCTGTGGTGTTCTCTAGTCACATACTGGACACAGAGGTTCAATCTTTGTGCAAAGAAACAGAAGACAATCTAGATATAGGAGGTTCTGCCCTTACAGAGCAACACGGGCAATATTAACAGGAGCATAGCTGGCAGATCAAGGGAAGTGATTACCCTTCTCTGCTCAGCACCCATTAAACCACAGCTAGAATGCTGCATCCAGTTTTGGATCCCCCAGCACAAGACAGACATCAAGAAACTGAAACAAGTTCAGCAGAAGGCCACCGAGATGGTCAGACAGCTGGAGCACTTGCACTACGAGGAGAGGCTAAGAGAGCTCCAGCCTCAATGAGCCCAGAAGAGAGGGCTTCACAGGACCTAACAGTAACCTTCCATATCTACAAGAACTTCATCAAGATGACAGAGCCAGGCTCTTCACAGTGGAGCACGGCAGGAAGATGAGAGGCAAAAGCATACATTGAAACAAGAGAGGTTCCAACTGGATATCAGAAGAAACGTATTTACCACGAGGACAGTCAAGTACTGGATGAGGTTGTGCACTGCGCTCTCCATCCTTGGAGGTTGTCAAGGCCCAACTAGATCACAGTCTGAACAACCTGGTCTGACCTCACAGCTGACCCTGCTTGAGGTAGGAGGTTGGACTAGAGACCTCCAGAGGCCCCTTTTAACCTGAAATGAATAGCCATCCTCTGAGCACAGCCCTCCGCCTGGCTAGAAGCAGGTGCTATTACAGCCTGTCTAACTGGAAGCACGTACTTGTGGAACAAAGTGACATAGACGAAAGACAAGTCATACCAGTAGTGTCCTGTACTACCGTGTTCCTGTAGTGTTTCAAAATATGTCAGAAAACTCTTAGATATTGCATCTAAGGAAATTCTTTGCTCATTCCTCTGCAATGAACAGGGAAGTGACTGATGCTTTACACAATTTAGAGACTAAGCATGGAAATGGAGTTTATGGAAGCGTTTTACGAGATGGCACTGACAGAAACATACCTGAGTTCCAATACTTCAGTTGCTGGCTGCCAGTTATTATTGTTGGCACCCCATCTCTTCCCTATGAACGTTTATTTATTTCTATAGCCTTCTCATTTCTGCAGGCTTACTGATTTAAGATGCTATACACAAGCTAACAAAAACTAAATTGTGCAACTACTCCAGTTCCTTTAAAAAAAAAAAAAAACTCTAAAAGAAATCTTATTTAAAGAAAATGGTTGTTCTTTCTTTACTCTTGGAAACAAGATAGTAAAAAAAGGAAGTGGTTAAAAACAGTAGGAAGAACCTAGAGCAGACAAACTTGCCCACAGCACAATCTCAGCATTGGGACAAATTTCATCTGCCTCACGACCAGTATCTCAGAGTAGACCATTAAACCATCTTTAAAGTATCTGAAGCAACGGGCAAGATTTTTGCATTTAAGCACTAAATAAGGCAACCTGAAGTCCACTTAAGACTGCTCAAATAACTCTGGAACAGGTAGAAGAACACTTTCATACACGCTGAAGAGCCTTACAATTCATGAAATAACTGAAATATACTCTGAAAGTAAAATCAGATGTCACTTAAATATTTGTATGTGCATTTCCATTGGGCATGTCTCAGGATTAGAGTTACAGTGAGATTATTTAGAGGTTTCTCTGTTGGGTCAGAATTCTGACATATGATCATTTCCATCCCATCTCCAAACACAAACCTCTCAGTTCAGGGGGAAAAGTAAAAAAAAAAAACAAAAAAAAAACACATCAAGTTTACCTGCTGTCTTCTCTCTCTTTCATACTCAGACCCCCTACTGCCAAAATAATTATCTGAATTGGTAGTCTCTATCTAGTTTGCATTAAAGGTGTAAATTGCAAATTAGTTTTCTTGTGAAAAATAACAGTTTAATATATGAGAATATTAACAAAGAACAAAAATGCATGACCTAGGGTTCACACAGTAAGATAAGAGACGTTGCACATCCCCATTCTTTGTACACAAAAAGTGAAATTCACAGATAACGGAGAAATCAGCAAGTACACACAAACCTAGAGGCAGGAGGGACAAAAGATCTAGTGACTGTTACACTGCAGAATCCAAATGAGGGAAAAAAAACACTTGGAGCGGTTTATGGTCTAGAAAATCATGTTCAAATAGAAACTACTTTTCTAGTGCGGATGAAAACATATTCATGTGCTATCTGGTATCACCTGCCAGGAATAGAACAGAGTAACTTACTCAGCTGTACGTCCACAGAAGCTTCAATAACCTGCAGCTAGTTACAAGAATCCACAGATTTGCATCTTCCCGTTGCATCATGCTAAAATTCATTTGCATGATTCCTCACAGAAGCAATCTTGCTCAGGCATGAGGTTATCAAAGGCATAATCCCTTTGAGAATAAAGTTTATTACCCAGACTTATTCAGGTTTTCCTCAAAGATGATGTTGGAAGATGCCACATGTTATTTTATTGTACACAGTTTACACATTTTGCAACAAGATATAATGAATCAATTGTAATATCCTAGCAGCCCCCATTAAAGCCTGTATATTAAAAATACTGAAGTAACTTCCATTTTACAGGACCTGTTTTCTATGAAATTTGAAGTTAAAATTCATTGTGGCAAAAATCTGCATATCAAATGCATTTGCTGACAGATGACAGTGATTAAGATAAAAGAAGTTCCTAAAAGTAGTAGGAACGGGTAAAACACAAGTCCACTTTCTTTACAGTGTGACAGCAGAGCAGACAGGCATGTTAAAAAAAAAACAACAAACAAACAAAACAAAAAACCCAAAAACCACACACACACACACACACACACTACAATGGGGGAAATGGTTGGAGGATTTACATAAAATGGAACATTACCTAAGAGCAACAGGAGACAGTTTGAAAGTATTGCCCGAATCCAAAGAAATATTTAATTTTTACATAAAGACAAGCAAAACCATTGCCTGTTTGCATGTATTTTAAGAAGCAAGGTAAATCTAGATTTAATCGCCTTAACAAACTCAAAGATAAGTAGACAGAAATAACATGAAAATATGCTTGCAAAGTCCACAGCAGCACAGCCTATAGGACAGTGTCTTGCCTAGCAAACGTTCTAAAAATTCATAACCAAAATCCTTATTTAAAAAGTAATTTTAAAAAATCCCTCTACATATAGCCTTCCTACTTCTTCCAGACTGCCCTCAAAAGAGAATTCAGAGAGGAATATCAAATACACTTCCGGACTGGAGGATCTCTGTTGCTGTTCCCACAGTCCTAACAGAGTAAGTGCAACGAACCAGCTGCCCAAGGAACAAGACCAAAAATACAAACTGAGACCAAATGCATGTCAACCAAAAAGTCTTCTTAATTTACCACGTAAATTGACTACATTGCAGAAATATTGAACGTTAAGATGTAAACTTTTTGAAACTTTGCTGCAGCACCAAAAAATAAAAATAAAGAAAGAAAACAGTAAGAAGCAGCATGACGATTGCAAGAGAACTAAGGGCAGAAGGGAAGGTACGTTAATAAATGCCTTCACGTAGGTTTATTTGATAGAGACAAAAAAAAAAAAAATTTAGTCTAATCATTGTTTCCTCCGGTCTTCACAAAACTGAAAACCAATTTTACTTAGCTTTTAAATAGTTTGTAGCCTTCTTTAAAACCATATTTACAACATCATGGGAGATTTATTAAAACTGCAGCTTATTCTGTTATGCCTGTGTTGCTGGCTTCTGCTGTCTGAGGTCCCGGTATACAGCGTATTCGGAGAACACCTGTTCTACAGTGTGCTCCAGAAACGGGACCTGCATAAATCCAGCTCAGCCTAACTGGCAGACACAGAAGAAATACTGGAAAGTAGAAATAGCTAACAAATGGTATTTCTGGAAAACAATCAGTGACAATCCCCTTGTAAAATGTATGCATTGTGTATTGCAGCATAGACAAAAAGAAAAAAATATTTATGAATTATGACCAAGAGAAGAAAAATATTTCTTCTGAATAAAGGCCTGGGCCATTTTTTATCTGTCTGGACTCGAGAAAGAACAAAAATAAAAGTGTGCATTAGTTCAGTCCAGAGCTCTATTACTTAGGACTACAGCATACCAAAGAATTCAAAATGAGAGCCCTGGATCTAATCTACAGTTTTCACAACCTACGACATTCAGCAAACATAAGCCTAAACTTCCAGCGCCATCCTCAGATTGTGCTTAGGCAGTGCCTTAAGATCCACAAACTGCTTTTTTAGAGTTAAACAGAACACCAGCGAAGGACTTTTGCTCAAATTTGATCCGAAGCTTATTTTCTGCTTTCCTTGGTGGGTATATCATAACAAATAGGTTTTGATATATATAAATAACTAAGTTAAACAGTTTGTAGCAAAGCAATTCCTCCTCCCAGAAAAAACTCTTCTCATCATTTATCCCTGTGAAATGCATAACCCTGGTTCTCATTTTGTACTGTCAAATTATTTTCCTTATACTACTTGGACACTTTCAGATGCTGCTGTGACCATATTTTAACATACCTCTGACAACCTTCACAACTCCACTTACCCACTCACAGAGACAGTGTAACAATACAGTGCAATTGGTTACTGAATGACTAGCTGCAAGCTAAAAAGAGACATCAACAACAGAGTTGTATCCTAGTGTAGTCTCTCTCTTTTTCTGTAGATTATTACCAGAAGACGATTGCTGTCCCTAAGGACACCTAAAAAAAATCCTCCAGTTCTATCTTTAACAGTTTTTACCTCCTTAAGCAGAAGGAGCGAGGTTAAAAGGAAACTCCTGTATAAGAGATTGCAGACTGGGTGCTGATTGTTTATCTGAAGTGCAGCGTTTCCATTAATCATTCAGATGGCAGTGAATAAAGAAACAGCACATACTCTCAAACGATGGAATACAGAAAGGCTCAAGGTGAATCACTTTGTTCAAGGACTGTGCACAGTCTTGGCACCAAATTCATGAAGATGCTTATCTTTAAGACCTGCAAAAGTTCTGTGACATTCAGTGCTAAGTCAGGGAACAGCATAGCTTTATTTTATAATCGTTGATGATTAGGAAGTAGCAGTGATGAAGTTCTTCCCTCAGCAAGAGAGAGCATACCTGTAGATAGTATTTCGTAAAGCACTTTGGAAGTAAACAGGAGGAAAAGATAAGTAGCAAGGTACAGAAGGTAAGAACCACTATGTAAAGTATTCTGAACTCTTAAGTATTTAAAGCTGCTGGTATACAGATTCTAGAAGGATAAACATGAGGTTCCAGTCTTTCAGTAGGTTTTACAGAACATCAAGCTGATTATTCAAGAATAATCCAAATTTCAAATTAGACTATCCTCCTGTGACGTGAAGTACCAATCTTCTGCAATTGCAATAAAAGTGAAGTCAACTTTTTTGCCAGATTAAACAAAGATCTGGAGACTCCTGACTATCAGATTTAGCGCTAAGAGTCTTGTGTAGAAGAAAATATCTGCTATAATGGTGTATCTTGTTCAGGTATCAAAGCAATGCAAGAATAACAAACAAAGCAATTGGAGGTAAAAGAAAGATGAGTAAAGGCATCAATAAGTGTTCAGTAAAGTCTCTGTTCCAACAGCAGCTAAGGAAAAGACAAATATCCAGTCCAGCAGAAAGAACACATGATTTCTTATCATCTTTGAAAATGTGATTTTGAAGATGTAGATCTGACTGGAGATCTCAGTCTCTTTTGATGGTGGAATCTCTCTTCCCATCTCCCACAAAGAACACACTAACCTGAGTCAGCTATAGGAAAGATTCCGTTTTCAACACGTTAAAATGACAGAATTTGGAGTGACCACTGTATTTGTGTCATTTTACTTAAAGACTGCTAAAAAGGGAATCAGATGAAAGGTTTTCTGTAGGTAGCCAAAAAAAAAAAAAAAAAAAGTAACAAGGAGCTCTCTCCAGACTCTCTCCAGAATAGCACTATCGAAAGTGAGAAGATGACAATGCCCTTCCAATTCACACAAGCCTACTCACACAGGCTTGTATTCTCAGATCCATGCCAAGTTGTTAGTTATAACTGTACTCTACATTTCTTAAAGAGAACACTTCACATTGGGGAAATCTTTAACGTACAATTGAATTAACGGATTCATTGAAGTCAAGTATATGTTAATACTGGTTTCTACCTGAAAGCTGTGATGAAGTCACAGTTGCAAGTTTTTGACAGTCACAGTCTGTTTCATCCTAAGCACTTTGTGAAGAATTGAGCAAGTGGAAAAAAAAATCCACAGGCAGTGATGGAGAGAGCTCTTATTCAAAACCTAATTATCACCTTTGACATCAGCAAAAGTAATGCAGAAACTACTGGCAAAATCGACTCCTGAATAAGTTCTCTCTGCTGTCAAGTTTTCCACAATAAAGAAGTCCCTCTTTAAGCTCTTCTACGGTTAGTCTGGTTTAGAAGAACAGAGAACAAACTCAAGTTATTGAGTCTTACCTTCAGTCCTGTTTTTTCATCATCACTACCATTATTTGTAGATGGTGTTTCATCCCCTTGCCTGGAAACCAAGACAAAATCTTCACTGTTAAGAGTGGATACCGAGTCTGAAGAGACACTGATTTTTCCAACAGAAGCCTTGTCATCCATGACTTAAAAAGGAAGTTCGACTCATGAATGAGATTAAATATTTTATAAACTCCTGAAAAACAAAAATCATAAAAATACTTACATAAACTTCATGCTAAAAAGCTCAAATGTTTGTTTTCTGAAACCTCCTGACTATTAAAAAAATAAATAAGAAGTAACACATCTGACAGCATAACCACGCATCAACTCCTCTGTTAGTGCTCATCCATGGTCCTGTTTTGATTTTGCTATGAAACACACTACTTGTTAAGCACTGGTTTCCACAGCTCACACATGGGAAGTCAATACATCCTTTTTCAGTATTTCATGATTATGTCAGACACCGTTCTACCCAAAGCAGGCCCTCAGAACACATGCCATGCCTGGTGTAAAAGGACTTATATTAGGATCAGAACTATAAAGTTCATTTATTCATTCAGATAACGTGTCCGCCTTCATCTATGCTCATGCAAAAATTAATTTTGTAGATATCAGAGCACACTGATTACTATGCTGTCGTCACATTCTCTTTCCCCAAATAATAATAGTTAGATCTAATTCTTGATATTTTGGGCTAAAGACACTGTAAAACCTTGGGACATGCAGTATTCTGCATGTATCTATGCTGGATCTTCTGTACTGTACAGAACAATAAAAGAAAAGACTTCCAGGAAGCAGGAGGAACAGCGTAGGTTGGATCTGTACTGAGAGTCAGAGCCAACAGAGGATTTAAAAAAGCTGGAACTGGCACTGAGACACATTTGAAGAAAGGAACAAAAGGTGAAGTTCAGCTGCACACCTTGAACTCTACAGCAACGATTCTCAGAATCACTGGCTCAAAGCAGAATGTCATGATAAAAATGGCTGATTAAATTTCTCAGAATCCCCATTTTACCACTATCACAACGGCTCAGGTCTTCGCATACTCTGAAGCGTGACCAAGCCTGGACGCTTTTCGGCCTCAAGCATGCCTCCCATTCGGTGGAGCACTGTCCCAGTCTGGCTCCCAACAGAGCTGCCAAGCAATGAAGAAACCTGCCACATCCACAAGCACAGCTCATCACATTCCCCTCCGAACCAAGAACAATGTAGCTGAAAACAGCAAAGCCTGTTTTTATTTCTGTCAATATCTTTCTCCTCCACAGCCACCAATATGACTTGAAAACCTGCCAGGAGATCAACAATCTTTTTTCCCCTCAGGTTATTTTTAAATCCGATTCTTTCCTGATCAAGTCTCTTCATGGCCCTAAAACATGTTACACTGGCACAACTGAGGGAGGCAGCAACATGCAAGAGGAAGAACAGACGTGGGTTGTGCGTGAATAACAATACACCTGCTATTATTGGGTATAATTTTCAAAAGCACATATGATATTTAGATATCCCTTTCAAAAACATCATAAAATCCACTGACTTTCAATGAGAATTAGTGACTGAGAAATTTATATATTCTGCCAAGTTTTACCCACTGTATGTGCCTATTTGGTATTATTTGCTAACACCTTAAAGGTGGGACACAGTTCTTATTTTTTAAAGACAATTTTATTTAAAGAATTCACATTAACACATTTCTGTAGAAGTTCCTTATTATACACAGATCATCTAAAAATAACTAAACTGAATAAATTGAAACACAAAATAAAAACAAGCTTCAAACTTTTGATAACCCTTTGGCTTTATTATTTTCATTCAAACAGTGTAAATTCATATCTGCTGCTCTGTAAGACAGCATGAGTAGAAAAGCTGGCTTTGATCATAAGCAGCTGTAAAGATCATCTAGGCAAGGATCAATTCAGCAATTTATTTTGGTGTGCTGCGTCTGGCTTGAAACGTCAATTTCATCTATTTCCAAACTCTTTCATTCTGGCACCTCTCACCAGCATAAACTTCAATTAAAGAAGAAAAAAAAAAAAAAGTATGCTGTGCTTTTGCATACTCCTTTTTTTTAGTACAGTGTGGTGTAAACAGACACCACACTCGATCCTGGAACACAGCTGGGCTTAGTCTAACCCCTACAGCAGTTTCACAATACAGAATTGCAACAACAGAAGGTCCTGATTAGCCCAGTTCTGCCAACCTTATACTGAGCAAAAGTCTTACTGAAACTACATGAGATAAAAAAAGCACTGGGAAGGGGACTGTGTAGTGGACTACAGTAAGAAGCTTTTGTATATTAGTGATGTATCAGCAGGCTAGGCACAATTACCCAGCCGCTGGGGAATCAACCACAGAATTCACAGAATTAATGCTCAAATAGCCAAGCTGTAAAAATACCATCTTAAAATACCAAAAATACTAAAATCGTGTCTTAACTAAAATTTCCATATTCCCACACTTTACTTTGCATGCATTTTATTTCCTCTACATGCTACTTTAGATCACTTTGCTTTGTGCAGATTGCCTCACTGATCATTTTACCTAAACCATAAAACTCACAACGGCAAAATCCACAACAGAAAGCCCATGAGCTCATTAAAATAAGGCCAGTCAAGAAGGGCACACATCAAAGACTAGCAGAGCAATTAAACGTGGCAGGCCTACAGCTCTTCTGGAAACAAGCAGCACAAAAAAACAACAGCGGTGGCAGTGCCCTTTAGCGATATCTGCAACTTCTCTAAGAAACTTAAGTTTTCTGTTCTCACAGTTTAGCAATCTAGAAGAGACCCCCAGCCGTACGTAGATCTCAAGTTTTAATATTTCTCAGGAGAGCCAATGTATTATTCCTTTCAACAAAAGCAGCTTTGGTTCATTTCAACATAAATAAAAATGAGCTTTCAAATTTAGCATAGTTTAGTTCTTGACATAAAACTACACTGCAGTAATGCAGTATTTGCCTGAAGGTGTCTTTACGCCTCTGTCGCGGACAGAATGTCTAGGTAAAACTAAGAGGCTAATTTTTATTAACTTATTTCTTTGCTCACCTATGTAATTAAAGGGTACCCTTGTCTCTCCTCACACAAAAGACCATTGGAAAAAGCTGCAAAATGAGAAGAGCAACGCGGCTGGCTCCTGGGTCACTGTTTTTAGTTTTATTTTAAATTCTAATTCTGAACACAATTCATGTTCACTCTATGCTTGCTGTTATTATACGCGGCCACAACGCAAGGCCAGGAATCAAACTATCATTTTTAAACATTCTTCTTTCTGTCTAAAGCAATCAAACAGCAGCAACACCTTACCTCACTCCCTCTGTTCACATTCAAACAAACAGCAAAGACACCACTTACCACACTAAAATCTCAAGCCACAGGAAGCAAACCTATCAAAGTTCAAGATTAGGTCAATAGCTTTCTAAAATATTTGTCTTTTCTTGCTTACCTGCTTCCAAGTATTTGGTGTATGACTTGCACTTTGGAGCAAGATTTTCCTCACAAGTACTGCCAGAATTAGTTTAAGAGCTCAAAGTAGATAGCATATAAAAAAAGAAACCTTCCATTTTACACTATTGTAGAAAAACACTGATGCTTGAATGCCACTTTGAGACATGTACAACAGCTCGAGCGAGGCATAGTAACTACAGCTGGTTTCATTGCCTTTCCAAGGGAGCACCTGTTTTTCACTATTTAGAACATCCATAGCTACACATTAAAGCCGCAAGACGAGCAAAAAAAATCAATACATTTCTGCTGTGAACTTCTCTGACCGTTTAAACAGAAGTTACCTTGAAATGAAGAGTAGACGTAGCACCCTTAGCACAGAATTCAGAGGGGCATGCAAGACAGAAACGGATACCACCACAACATGCTACACTATTATTTGGTACTAACCAATTGTAAACTTAAGTTTTTAGGTTTTCAAGGCAGGAGAGAGCATAAGCATGAGAACAGGTGTGCAAACTAGAGAAGAAAGGTGACTTTTTTCCCATTCTTATCTTCCTCAACTTCTACACTTCAGCAGCAGCTCCTGTAGTGATTCCAGAAAGTTATAGTATAGCTGATGAAGAACACACAGAAGAACGATACAATAATATTAATGAAACTGTTGCTTGAATTATTGCATTCTCTAGTAACCTTGAACAACAACATAAAAAATCTTGGCATGCAGAATAAATCTATATCCTCTGCCTCCTAAAATATAAAAGCACTAAGTGTAACATTAAGTTTACGTGGAAACAAAAAAAATGGGACAGCATAAAGCCAAGACTCTGAGGTGATTGACTCAAATCAAATTCATCCACTGAAAATAACACATTTTGTTTTTATTTTTCTAGCTGTATGTGAAACTCCCCAATAATATTCAGTACAATTCTATTTAAACATAAAATTCTGCTTTCCTAGTTTGCATCATTATCATCTTAACAAGCATGAGTAAGTGGAATCTGTAGCAGAATTCAGAAGTTTTGCGATATGTTTTGCAAAGCTCTTTTACGACAAGCCAGCCAGCATTCTTTAGAATTCTCAGTTCACATTCTTTGACATTTGAGGTTTTTTTCCTCCTTCACAATTTAAACAGTGTATGTTTGTTGTTTTATAAATACACAGTGAGTCCTGAAAAAAAACTGGCAAATGCTACAGTACGCTGCTGTAACTACAGGCAGTTGCACCAGGTGTTTTAGTCTGAGCAGCAAAAGAAATCTGATGTCACACTGACAAACACGTGGAAAAGGAGCTGTGGTTTGACTTTTGCTGAGCGCATACACATAGGCTGCCTTTTATTGAAGCTTTGGGGAAAAAACATATAAGGAAGATGAATCGCTAGCAACCTTTTTCCTCTCACATATCACATGATTAGTCTGCATTATCATGTTTGACCTTTACCTACCTCTCTTTCAAGGAAACAGCTACAGTCTTTCCTTCCCCATGCAAACCATATTCTCAAAAGAAATAAGAAGTATTTTGCACTCAAAATGAAGCAAGAAAGCCACTGGAATACTGCATGTGAAAATAAATTTTTAAAATGACTAAAGAGAATGATGAATAAAAAAGACAGCAACAACAGTACTAACTTTTCCGTTTATCTTGAAATACTCTGACAGCCACAGATGTTCCCACTAACCTCAAGAGCCAGATGAAAACAGGGTATTTATTGGAAGACAATGCTGCCTCAAATTTCAGCACCCCTGTTCTTTTTGCTCCAGAGCAGACTAGTACAGACCTCAGGAAGCTGACTGCATTGTTATCCAGTATATAAAAACCCAGGAATCAGGCAAGAGTTAAGCTAGTGCAATCTTTGTTAACAAACCTTAATGTGGCAACAATTGTAAATCTGTTAATTTTACTTTGAAGGTTAATTTGAACCGTTCACTCGGAGGATAAAAGTCTAACGTTAGGCTCCTGTATCAAGCAAATTCCCCAACCCCAGAAACAGCCCGCAGGTCCTGGGAAACAGTGGTTTATAAAAGAAACGCTGACACTGCCTTAGCTCGACCATCACAAGAACGTCACTGCAATGAATTAACCGTGAACGCTCTGTCCACGCTTGCAGCGCATTCCGCGCCCGTCTGCGCGGCGGGAGCCGGGACACAACAGACGCTGGTGGATGGGACACCAGGTAAAGGTGAAAGAAACCCTGGAGATGCTGCTGTAAATGCTTCTGCAGCTCCTCTCTGCTTTCATTAAGATTCAAATGGAGACGTACAGTTTTGCTTACCCGACAAACATAGCACTTCAAAAATATATTGTGAAATCTTAATACAGAACTGAAAAGGGGAGTTACATCTGATACACGCTACCAAAAGCTGTCTGCGCTAGGATTTGCAGAGCAAAAGGAAACCCCTGTGCCAAGCTCCCCCTGCTAATTTGTTTACTGTGCGCACAAGCATAAGTTTGCCCAGGTCCTTGGCCTTTTAACGATAAGCAGAAGCCTTCAAACAAAATGATGGCGCCTCTGTAATTTAATCAGCAACGGGGAAGCCCGTGCCGCTCAGCATCCGCTAACAAAGCGGCTAAAAGAGAAAATCTCAGGAGTCCCGTCGAGCTAGCTTCAACAAAACCCTGCAAGCAAAACCGCTGCGGGACTGCAGACCAAGAGCACAGACCGAGCTGCGTTTGCACGACGACAGAGCCGAACAAGTACTTGATCTCCAACTGGCGTTTTAGGGACAAAAACGCGTCTTTTCCCTCTCCCCCGAGCTCCTCCCGGATCC